TTTCTTTTCTTTTTGAGATGGAGTTCGCTCTTGTTGCCCAGGCTGGAGTGCAATGGTGCTATCTCGGCCACTGCAACCTCCATCCAGCTGGGATTTTTTTAAACACTAGAATAAAACTAACGTACTGTAGGTAGTGGCATATTTTCCAAAAATTCTTGTTGTTAAATTGTGAGCTAATTTTCAATGATTTTGAGAAGTTGCCATTTAGGTAGATTAGGATTAGGGTTGGAGATAGATTTAGAAAACTATAAAGACCCTACCTTGTTTGAGTTTATAAGCTGTCATTCGGGTCAGTGTTAAAAATAACCAACATAAGATATTATTAAATCAATTAGAAATGTTCAGCCTTTGGTCATACAGATATCAGGAATGTTTGTTTACACATTTCTGTTGACCATGGAATGTATCTGAGGGGTGCATAGTAGGTAGAATTTAAGATCCTTAGCCGTGGGAATCTAGGATTTTCAGTTCAAAGGGTCTAAGGAATAGTTCCTCACTCTGTGGGCCTTGGGATACAGAGAAAGTTGTTCTCACCGTCTGAGGTTTCTGTATGGAGCAGAAGATTGTGGCCGAGCTCTCTTCTATCTGAGAAACTGGGGTCTTTCCCTGTAACAGACCAACACCAGATGAGCCCTAGTGACCCCACATGAGAGCTTTTCAGTTTTACCCTCAACCCTTGAGGAGAGAGGATACCCCCCAACTTCCCATCTCACACAGAGGGTGGGAGCTGCCTTAGTGCAGTGGGGACGGTGCCTCTGCTTCTCCAACACCTCCCTTTTTAGTGGCCCAAGAATGAGAGCTGAGGGAGAAGTCCCTCCTTCCACAGGATCCCAAGGTTGGGTAAACATGGACACAGCCATGAGTCCCTGCCCATATGCCCCTAGTCCTGTTTCCAGGCCCCAGTCCTCAGTTTGGAGGAACTAGTCAACCAGGATCTCAGATGCTGCTAGATGTGGGAGAGGAGAAAGGTGTATTGATCAGAAGGGCTCACCTGTAAGTTGAAGAACACTTGTGCATACATGGTGTTCTCTCCAACCACAGACTCAACTTCTGTGACATATGGAGTGATGGGATCATAGTCTGCTTGGCCCTTAGGGGCTGGGTCATGTCCAGCACCCTCCTGAGTGACCTGGTCATACACCTCGTCTCTTCCATTGATGGGCTTGTGCACCTCGGGCCTGTCCGCATCCTCCTCAGTTGTGATGTTGCTGTCAGAGCTGCTGTCTGAGGCGGGCCTAGGCCGTTGCCTGGCAGGCCTGAGGGGAGTGTCCAGCTTCTCATACTCTTGAGAGAGCACAGAGTATAGCATGTGGCCAGCTGTGGGTTCCGGAACACCTTGTGCAGGGCTGATAAAAGTATGCCAACCCCACCTCTCTCTTGCTTTGCTGCAAGGCCCCAGCCTGCTCTGACGCTTGCATTGGATGAGGCCTAGAAAACTGAGGGAGATTGTTTTTTTCCTGTCTTCCCTCAGGGAGTCCATTCCACTCTCCCTTCCTCCTTTCAAGCATTCATTTATTCATTCATTTGATAAATATTAAATATTAAATGTGATAGACTTTAGCAACTCTCTGGCCCTGTGGGATACACCATGCCAAGCATCATGACAGGTACTCTGGGGAAACACAAAGGTAAACTGGACCTGGTCCTGGAGGAGCACCCTGTCTAGCTGGGGAGTCGCGTGCATGTGTAAACCAGTAATGTAAGGCCAGCTTTGCCAAGTATTCCATGGAACATATGAGGAAAGTGCAGAGTTGAGAGGAGATGACTCTGGTTAGAGAAGCAGAGAGGAACTCATGAAGGTGGCAGAATTGAGGTGGGTCTTGAATAGGGATTCAATATTTCGATGAGTGGAAGGGTATTCTAGGTGGAGGAGGGAGCAGCATGATTAGAGGCAGGGGTAAAGCCTGGAGCAGTCTCCTTTTCCAAAAGGGTGATATTAAAAATACTTAACAATTGCAATGGTCAGGGCTTAGGCAATCAGCATGGGCACCTGTGAACACTGGCATGGTGGACACGCTGTGAGGGCTGGTGTGGCCCACTGGGTGGATATGCTGTGAATGCTGCCACGGCACACTGGGTGGATGTCAACCCTGCCTGTGGGGCACGTGAAGTAGCCCATTTTGATGTAGGAGTTAAGAAGAAATTACTTAGGCAGATAGTAAGGGTATGGGAGTCCTTGGTAAGGCTTTTCTTTCTATTGAAAAGCAGCCCCAAATCATTTTCCAACAAAGAGCAGCCTGCAAGCTGGGAGCTTGCATGGGTGAATGCCAGCAGGGACTAAGGACTAGACATTTTCAAAATGGTGGCTCCATCTTCCCTTCTCTGCCAGCCACTGGTATTGTAAGGAGCATATAAGATGCATATAAGATGGTGGCAATCAACTGGAAAATCTATTTCCATAAGAAGATTAGGGTGGGGGAAGCAGCCTTCCCCAGGCACTATGTAAACGTCATACCTTATCAAACCAATCTGTGAGCCCTACGTAAATCAGACGCCACCTCCTCAAACTGGACTATAGAACTCAGCACATTCACCAGCAGCCGGTCCCCACCCTGAGACCCATTCCTCCATAGAGGAAGCTGTTTCTCTTTTTCTTCTCTTCTACTTATTAAACCTCCGCTCCTAAACTCCTCGTGTGTGTCTGTGTCCTAAACTTTCCTGGCACGTGAGGACAAACCCTGGGTTTATATCTCAGACAACATAGCCCCTTCGATTTGACCTGATGCTCATATTTTTTAGTAAGTGCCTACTATGTGCGAGGCACTGTTCTAAATGCTTTTCATGAATAAGTTTATTTAGTCTGCATAAAACCCCATGAAGCATAAACAATAACTATCCGTGTTTATTTTTTGTAGATGAGGAAACTCAAGCACATAAAGATTAAGTATTTGCCTGAGTAAGTGGTAGGGCCAGGATTTGAACACAAGTAGTCTTGTCCCTGATGCTCTTAACCGCTGCTCAATCCTGCCCCCTCCCTGCTGACCCCTCTTTCTCTTTCGCTCAATACTGAGTGAAAATAGGTAGACACCTTCATTTTGGAAGGTAAGAAAACTGAGGCTAAGGGATTCATAAGGAGAAGAGCTAGGGTTTGAGCACAGGATTGTCCTACCTCAGAACCCATACACCTGATCACTTGGTTATATTGCCTTTTGAACAGACAAAGGCCACTAGGAGCTATTGAGGGTTTTAGAGAAGTCAGTTGAGCTTGGCAAAGTGATGAGAGGGAATAGTCTGTAAGGAAACTATTAGCATATTTTAGGAAAGAAGTAACAAGGAATGAGAATGACTGTTAATAAGTACCGGCAAAGTAAATTAGTTAAACAAATGTGTAGAATAGAATAAATGGGAGTCAGTTTTAATCTACAAATGTTAATATTGCTGGGATGTACTGGTAAGATCAAAAAGCAAGGTTTAGAAAAGTGTTATAGATTGCTCCCATGTGTGAAGTTAAAGGAACACCCTCCCCACACAAATATGTATGAAACCTGCAAATGAATTAAAAGTTTCTGAAAGGATTCAGGTCTGTAGAAATCTCAGCAGTGGTTGTCTGTTGGGGGAGAGACTTAGAACCTGGAGATTGGAATTTGGAAAGAGAGCTACTTTTAACTGTATGCCATGTGAATATATGTCTTTTTTTTTTTTTTTTTTTTGAGACAAAGTTTCACTCTTTTTGCCCAGGTTGGAGTGCAATGGTTTTCAAGCAAGCATTATTCTAGGCAAGAGGTTATAGCAGTACCTGAGGCAGACAGTCCCTGGGTAGAGAGGTTTATGGCTTGCCCAGTGTCACAGAGTTTCAAGTGTCTGACCTGAGGTTCGAGTGCAGATCCTACAGCGCCCTTAATCGCCACGTTACACTGTCCCTCTGTAAATGATATGAGGAGACTTCCAGATTCCTGTTAAGCTGGACTCTAGATCTGTCTACCAGACACAATCTGACCCAACATTGTCAGATCCTGGGTAGACCGTACCTTTTTTCTACTTCCTTCTATGGAAGAGCAGAAGATACAGCTTAGGGTTCAAATCCAGTTTTTACGGTGTGACCTTGGGCAAGTCCCTTATCTTTTTTGAGCCTCAGTTTCTTTACCCGTATAATGGGGAAAAATGAGAGTATCTACTCTGTAGGATTGTTGCGAAGATTGTGCAAAAATGCATGAAGGCCTAGAATAGTGCTTGGCATTTAGTAAGGGCCACTGGGGCTCCTTTTCTAGCTCCCACTCACACAGCCTTTGTTCCTGGGTGGTCCACATCCCTTTCCACATCAGCTTCATATCAGATTTTCTCTACAAGCCTCTAACTCTGTGCTGTTCGATATGGTAGCCACAAGCTATGCATAAGCCCTTGAAATGTGGCTAGGATTACTGAGACACCAAACGGCTTCTTTTGTTTAGTTTTAGTTTTAATTTAAAAATGGCTACTCAATTCCTTCTTGAAAAACTGATAAGTGTGCTTGGAATAACTTGGGTGCATAAATCTATTTTTTCAACTGTAATTTTACAAAGTCTGAATATAGATTAAACACTTTCAGTGAAAATTTAGCATTGGAATAGAGATGTGCTGTAAGTGTAAAATACATACTGGCTCTCAAAGACTTAGTACAAAATAAAATGTAGTGTCTAATGAATTTTTTTTTGTATTGAATACACATTGAAATCATGATATTTTGGATATATTCAGTTAAATGAAATATATTATTAAAACAACTTTATTTCTTCTTGCTTTTTCTAACATGGCTATTAGAACATTAAAATCACATGCTTGGCTCTCACATATCTGTGGAAGTATGCCACTCTAAAGAGCTCTCACCCACAGCCTCCCACTGCACTTCATAAAGAATCAGTCAGGATGCAAACTCTTGGATCTGAGGCCCCGAGGCCCCGTGGCCTGAGTAAATAGAGATGGAGAGAAACCTGGACAGATGTTCTCAGAAAGAAACTGGTGGGAACTGTTGCTGACAGGGTTGCTGGCTGTGCATGTGAGGTTGGGGTGATTTTCACCACTTCTCCATGAGACGTTGAGGTGTGATTCCCCTTGGGACACAACAGCTCCCTTCTGCAGTGGGGTCCATGTGTACATGACGGCGTTTCCCCCATCCTTCACGGAGCAGGTCAGGCTGACCCTGCAGATGCCATCCTTGCTGTGCCGGAGGCGCCACGTGATTTTGGGCTTCACCAGCCTCCCTGTGAGGAGAGAGGCAGACTCCATGTGGAATCAGGCCTGCCCCCTGGGCAGTCATCTGTCTTCATTCGTTAAAAATATATTCATGAAGCCAAGTGTTGATACTGCCGGCAGAGTGCCTCCAGGAGCCACAGGAATTTTGGAGTACACCTGGCATTTTCCTCCCTACTTGTGACATCTCAGACACACCTCTTTACCTCTTGATGCTCAGGTGAGAAAAAAGGGAAATGAGGAAAAGTGAAGAAAGAAAGATACAACCTCATTCTATACAGTTAGTTACAGCTGTGAAAGCAAGCAAACCAATCAACACGGATGAGCGCAACACTTCCATGTGCTGTAAAGACCCTTCAAGGCTTGCCTTTGAGGCTGATTCGCTTACTGATGTGAGACAAGGGATGCAGAGAGGCGAGCGCTGTACCTGACAGAGTAAACGCTCAATAAATGTTAGCAACTTTAAAAGAAACAATAAGATTGACTCTATTTGTTTCCTGTTTATTCTTATTTTTACTTAACCTTGTGGGTTTCTTTATATTTGAGGCACTGTGGGCAATAGGCATGGACTTGGCCGACTTGCTGCATATTTAACAAAACCATGATGGTGACTCTTCACAGATACCTAGACACTGACAAACTCAGGCAGGGGGTATGCTGACCATGTCTGAATGGCACAGGTGAAGGAACAGGTAAACATAAACCATGCAAATTGCCAAGCCAAGCTCCTGTGAGGCCCAAGGCTGAGGAGGTAGAATGCAAATTCTGTTCCACATGTCCAGGGGAGCTGAGTGGCCCACCTTCTTGGAGGCCACAGTGTCTTTGGACATCAAGGGCTTCTCCTCAGTCTTCTCTGATTTCACCCCAGCCAACTCTGGCCTTATTAAAAATGATAATAGTTTATACAAATGCAGGTTGGGGCTAGGCGCCATGACTCATGCCTGTAATCCCAGCACTTTGGGAGACTGAGGCAGGTGGATCACCTGAGGTCAGGAGTTCGAGAATTGCCTGGCCAACATGGCAAAAACCCATCTGTACTAAAAGTACAAAAAGTAGCTGGGTGTGGTGGTGTGTGCCTGTACTCCCAGCTACTCAGGAGGCTGAGGCAGGAGAATCCCTTAAACCTGGAAGTCAGAGGTTGGAGTGAGCTGAGATCGTGCCACTGTACTCCAGCCTGGGTGACTGACTTTATTTTTGAGATGGAGCATGACTCCATCTCAAAAATAAAAAAATGCAGGTTGGTGAGTTCCCAGTTCCCCCCCCTCCTTTTTTTTTCTTTCTAGAAAGAGTCTCGATCTTTCTCCCAGGCTGGAGTGAAGTGGCATGATCTCAGCTCACTGCAACCTCCGCCCCTTGGGGTTCGAGCGATTTTCTTGCCTCAGCCTCTGGAGTAGCTGGGATTACAGGCGCCCACCACCGCACCCTGCTAATTTTTGTATTTTTAGTAAAGACGGGGTTTCACCATGTTGGCCAGGCTAATCTCAAATTCCTGACAACAGGTGATCCACTTGCTTCAGCCTCCCAAAGTACTGGGATTACAGGTGTGAGCTACCGCACCTGGCCTCCTAGTCCCTTCTGAGACTCAATGCAGAAGGACCAGGGCAAGCACCTAAAGTTGGGTGGTAGAGGCCTAACTGGCAGCCTAGAACCAGGGACACTTTGGCAGGTAGACTTGTCCAGCAGCTAGTCATGAGTTTTCCTCCTGTGAATCAACTGGTGTGAACTGAACAGCTGTCCTAGTGGTCTGAGGCATTTCAGTCTGAGGGAAGACCCTTGGAGAAGGGGGAGGTGGAGAAGGCAGCAGAGGAGAAAGCTTTCAGAGAAGGAATCTAATGACAGGTGCCCTGCCCAGAGACTCACGGTAGATGAGCAGGGTGACATGTGTCATGCTGGTGACTCTGGAGGCCTCTGAGCACACATAGGCACGGTAGGGGCTGGCGTCCTCTATCTTCAGCTGACTGATCTTCAGGGAGCAGTCCTGACTGGAGACCCACACCCTGTTCTTGTAAGGATCCCTGGATTTAATGAGTGGATCTGCCGTTGCTGCTTCATCCCTCTCTTTGCTGATGACGGATGTGTTAAACAACCAGACAACCTTCTCTGTGTGCCGGCAGGCTGGGAGTGCCAGTGGCAGGGTGACTGGCTCTCCCAGGACCCCTACCACAGTCTCCCCTGTTTTTCCTCCTCTGGAGGCTCCTGGATCTGGGGTCAGAGATGAGACATTGCAGCTTCAGTCACTGTCCCTATTCGCTTGGCCTCCAGGCATTCTAAAGGGGACTGAGGGGACTGAAGTCCCTCCTCCCCCTCCTCTTCCTCCTGGCCTCCTCCTCTGAGGGGCATGCCTGCTACTTCCTCATGACCACCTGTTCCACGGGGCTCTGCCCACTGAATATTTGGACTCTCATTCCCCTTCTCTGCCCTTCTGAGGGTACCCGGAAACACCTCCACCCAAGCAAAGACCCATCAGGACTCCTGTATCCATATTGTCTTCTCCTCCCTTGCTCTAACCTTAGAGTATCACAGTGTTCTGGGCTTTCCAAGTCCTGCCCGCCTCTCTCAGGCCCCTGAGAGTAGAGAATAAGGGGTTTTGGGGCCTATCCTCTTGCTTCCCCACCCGCTGTGTGTCCGACCAGAACCCTAGGGTTTAGACTCCACAGTTGCTCACATTGTTTCTGGATTTCCCTCAAGGGCCAAATTGGAGCCAGGTACCTGTACAGAACTGCCCAACATGGACAGGGTGGGAGCTGGTCTGGCTGACGAGGTTCTGGGCTATGCAGGTGTATGGCAGGTCTGGCTCACAGGGCATTCGGGAGATGGTAAGAATGGAGCCTCCATTGGACTCAGAAGCATGGGGGTCCCTTGGGGTCCAGCTGTACAGAACACTTTTCTCTGCTCCCTTCACGGAGCACATTAGAGTGATGTTACAGGAGAAGTTCTCAGACGCCTTCACAGACTTCATGGTGACTTCGGGCTCCTGCAGCTGTTCTGCAGAGACAACAGCATGGGAAGATGCTCAGTTCCCTTTGCCAGCAGAAAAGCACTGAAAGAAGAAAGGAGTGATAATAGTGGAGTTGGGGGCAGCAGAGAGAGGCCAGCAATACCAGTCGCAGGGACATCTTCTCTGCAGGCTGGGTTGACGGCCTCTCCTCTGTGCTCCCATAACATCCTCTACAGGTGTTATCACCATGACTCAGCATGACTAATAGTCTGATTACTTCTCTTTCTCCCAGACCAGTATAAGAACTCTTTGACGACAGGGCTGATTTCTGTGTCTGAACATCTAACACGCACCTGCCTTATGAAAAATACTCAGGAATGTTCGATGAATAAATAGGTGAACGGCCCAGCCTCAAACACTATGGAGTGGGGAACTGTGCCTCTAGAATTTGAGTTGCCCGTGTCTTTTGGTCTGAATTTAGAATTGTGCTTCTAGCTCTTCTTCCTTGTCTTCTCCTTTCCTTTTGCTCCATCTCCACTGTTCACCATGTATGTGCACATGTGTGAATGTTTCATTAAGCTATATTTCTTTCTTTCTTTTTTTTTTTTTGAGACAGAGTCTCACTCTGTTACCCAGGCTGGAGTGCAGTGACGCGATCACTGCTCACTGCAACCTCTGCCTTCCGGGTTCAAGCAATTCTCCTGCCTCAGCCTCCTGAGTAGCTGGGATTACAGGCACACACCACCACACCCGGCTAATTTTTGTATTTTTAGTAGAGACGGAGTTTCACCATGTTGGCCAGGCTAGTCTCAAAGTCCTGGCCTCAGGTGATCTGTCTATCTTGGCCTCCCAAAGTGCTGGGATTACAGGCATAAGCCACTGCACCTGGCCCAATATTTCTTCTTCGAATAGGTAATACATGTAAAAAAATTGAGAAAATACAAAAGGTACATAATGAAAAAGTAAGCTTTCTAGCCTCCAGCCATTTATTTACTCTCCCCAAGAATTACTATTCCTGGAGGCAGTTACTGTTATGGGTTTCTTATTGATCTTTCCAGAGATATTCTAGATATAGACAGATATATGCATACTTTACACACTGTTTTGGACCTTAAAAATTAACAGTATATCTTGGAAATTATTGTATGTCATATGTCAACACATGTTGATTCATTCTAATTTTATTAACTGCATAGAATTCCATTTCCTTAACAGATACAGAATACCATACAAATCAATGAAAACGATCAAACTACCTGAGAGAAAGATGGTGCTATGAGCTAAACTGTGTCTCTGCAAAGTTTAGATATTAAAGTCTTAACCTCCAGCACCTCAGAATGTGACTGCATTTGAAGATGGAATTATATTTGGAGATAGAAGTAATTAAGTTAAAATGAGGCCGTTAGGGTGGGCCCTAGTCAGATATGAGTGGTATCCTTTTAAGAAGGGGAGATTACAGCGTAGACAATACAGACAGAGGGACACCCATGTGAGGACATAGAGAGAAGGCGGCCATCTAGGAGCCAAGGAGAGAGGCCTTAGAAGAAACCAAGCCTGCTGATACCTTCATTGGCCTCCAGAATTGTGTTCTGGGGAAATGTGGAACACATTTCTGTTGTTTAAGCTAGTCAGTCTGTGGTATTTTGTTATGGAAGCCCTAGCAAACTAATACAGATTTTGATACCAGAAGTGGGATGAAGCTCTAACAATATAAAAATGTGAAATCGCTTTGGAACGGGCTGATGGGTAGAGATTGGAAGAATTTTGAGGTATGTGCTAGAAAAATCCTAGATTATCTTCAAGAGACTCTGGGTAGAAATGTGAATGTTAACGAGAATTCGGGTGAGCACTCAGAAGGAAAACAGGAACACTGCAGGGAAAGCTGCTATTTCCTTAGAGATATACATATGTCATCATGAGCAGAATGTTGGTAAAAATATAAATATTAAACATATTGCTGGTGAGGTCTCAGACAGAAATTAGAAATATGTTACTGGAAACTGGAGGAAAGGGTATACTTGTTATAAAGTGGCAAAGAACTTGGCCACGTTGTATTCTAGTGTTTTGCAGAAAGCAGAATGTTTAGGTGATAAATTTGGGTACTTAGCTGTGGAGATTTCTAATCAAAGAGTTGAAGGCACTGCCTGGTTTCTCCTTGCTGCTTATATAAAATGTGAGAGGAGAGAGAGAGGTTAAATAAGGAATTGTCAAGCAAGATGGAGCCAGAATTTAAAGCTTTGAAAAAATTTCAGCCTATTCATATTGTGAAAAATGAGAAAGTGTGTCTGGAGAGAACACAAAGATTGTGGCTTGGCGATGTTTGCTAGAGAGGTTATGAGATTGGACCACCTCGGCAAAATTGCTGCAAGTGTGGACTGTAAAGGACAGAGACAGGACAAATGAAGGAGTGTGTCAGGCTTCTGGGCTTTTATGAAACAAGTCAATATAGCTCATACAGCTGCAAACATGTATTATCCTTCAAGAAAAGGGAACGGTGACCCCACAGGCAGTTCAGAAGTAGGCAGAGATGCCACTGCCACCATTGGCCTAGAGGGCATAAGCCTTGGGTAGGGTGAGGTGGTTTCCTCCTTGATTCCAGCGGGCAGAATTGCCACCCAGGGCCAAGGAGGTGGGGCTGCTATTCCAGTGGGCCCAGAGGATAGAGCATTGAGCCAAAGAGGATTATGCTTGAGCCTTAACATCTAATAGAATTTACCCTGTTAGGTTTTGGACTTGTTTGGGACCTGTGACTTTTTTCTTCTTCCCAATGTCTCTCTTTTGGAATGGCAATGTCTATTCCATGCCTGTTCTACCGTTGAATTTTGGAGGCAGATAACTTGTCTGGTTTCGCAGGTTCACAACTGAAGAAGAATTTTGCCTCAGGATGAATCCTATCGCAAGTCTCACCCATACCCGATTTAAATAATATTTGGATGGATTTTGGACTTAGAGTTGATGCTGGAATGGGTTAAAACTTCTGGTGTTGTTGGAATGGGGTGAATGTATTTTGCATGTGAGAAGGACATGAATTTTGAGAGGCCAGAGGGTAGAATGTTAGGTCTGAATTCTGTCCCCCCACAACATTCATATGTAGAAGTTCTAATCCCGAGTACCTCAGAATGTGACTGTATTTGGAGACAGGGTATCTAAAGAGGTAATTAAGTTAAAATGGAATTGTTAGGGTGAACCTTAATACAATATGACTGATGTGCTTATAAGAAGAGATTAGGACATGGACAACACAGACAAAGGAATGACTGGGGGCACAATGAAAAGGTGGCCAACTACAAGCTGAAGAGAGAGGTTCTAGGGAAAACCAAACCTGCCAACACCTTGAACTTGGATTTCTAGTCTCCAGAATTGTGAGAAATAAATTTCTGTTGTTTAAGCCATCTATTCTGGGGTATTCTGTTATAGCATCCCTTTCACACTAATACAGATGAGTAAAGAATATTAATAGAAAGTTACAGAAAAGAGAATACAAATGGCTATTTAATACATGAAAAGATGGCCAGACACAGTGGCTCACGCCTATAATCCCAGCACTTTGGGAGGCTGAGGACAGTGAATTGCTTGAGGCCAGGAGTTCAAGACCAGCCTGGCCAACATGGCAAAACCCTCTCTTTACTAACAATACAAAAATTAGCCAGGCGTGTGGTGCATGCCTGTAATCCCAGCTTCCTGGGGGGCTGAGACATGTGAATTGCTTGGACTCAGAAAGTGGAGGTTGCAGTGAACTGAGATTGCACCACTGCACTCCAGCCTGGGCAACAGAGCAAGACTGTCTCGAAACAAACAAAACATAAAACATGAAGAAATGCTCAGTTTAAAACATGAAGAGATGCTTCAATTTAAAATATAAATTTAAACTATGAAATACTATTTTAACTACTCAATTTATCAATAAAGAAATGTTTGACAATACATTGTTATTGAGAATATAAGGAAATATTCTCTCAAACATTGCTAGTGGGAGGGTTACTTGGTAACATGGAGGGAAATCCAGCAATATCTAGCAACATTAAAAATGTATATACTAAGCTGGGTGCAGTGGTGCCTGTAATACTAGCTTCTTTGGAGTCTGAGGTGGAAGGATTACTTGAGGCCAGGAGTTTGAAACCAGCCTGGGCAACATAGTGAGAACCAGTCCCTACAAAATAAAATAATAATAAATAAAAATTTAGGATTTTAAAGCCAGGCACATGGCTTTACAGGTGGCACATGCCTGTAGTCCCAGCTACTTGGGAAGTTGAGGGAAGGGGATAGCTTGAGTCCAGGAGTTTGAGACTAGCCTGGACAACAAAATGAGACTATGTCTCTATGAAATACTGGTAATACTAGTGGTAATAATAATAATAACAATAAAAAATTCAGGATTTAAAAGCTGGGCATGGTGGCAAGTACCTGCAGTGCCAGCTACGTGGGACACTGAGGCAGGAGGATCACGTGAGCCCAGGAATTGGAGACAAGCCTAAGTGACATAGTGGGACGATGTCTCAAAAAAAAAAAAAAAAAAACGCATATACCATTTGATTCAGCAACTTGACCCCATGTATATATTCTAGATTTATTCATCAGAATATAACCTAGTCACGTAAGCGTGAAAAGATAGGTGCACAAGAATATTCATTGCAGTATTGTTTATAAGAGAAAATATTAGAAACAATATTTCTATAAGCAGAAACAGTATTTGTACAAGTAGGAGACAAGTTACATGAATTATGGCGATTGTATAACATGTCAGGAATTTATGGGTGTGTCTTCTAATCTTGACATCTGTGTATACGGAATTAGGTGAAAAATGATCAATATAGTAGTCATATTTATCCTAGAGAGAGAAATTCCTGGAGAAAAAGGATGTCTGTTTTTAAAAATAAAAGATCAAGAGAAGGGGCTTCAAAATGGCTGACTAGAAGCATTTAATGCCTACTTCCTCTACTTAGAAGAACCAAAGTAGTATACAAACAGTCATATTTCAAATACATTTTCCAAGGGAGAATGCCGGAATTCAACAGAGATGTGACAGGAAACACTAAAAGCAGGGAAG